TTAGTGTAAGACAATACTTGTGTGCAGAGCATACACAACGTAACAACAACAATAATAATGATGATTTAAAACAATATGTAAAGAGCAACATAAATAACATGATGTAAATAATGGTGGAATTAGATCAAAGTGATCCCAAACCATGGATCGCTTTTTTCCACTTGTAGATGCCATCGAAAATGAAACAAATGCCAAAAGTCGCCAAAATCACCACTAACGTCACACAATCCTCCTCACTACCCAACATTTTTAGGAAATATTGATGCATCTTTTATACTGTAGCAGTTTAGCGCTTGTCAAACCACGGAAGTGCGCTGAACACTCTGAACCAATCGCAGAGCGGAACATTCGCCGAGCCAATGAAATGCTTCGATACACTGAAGCGATTGCCACAGAGTGAAGCAGTAGGGGGAGGGACCGACTGCTGCGAGACGAGCTCCGAGGCAGTGCTTCAGAGTGATTTGTTTCAGAAAGAACGAGACGTGCTCCAGAGCTCCGACTCATTTGCCCATCACTACTCTATAGATTTTTATGGGCTAAGGCCTCTGGGGAGGGTGAAAGAGCAAGACAGACAGGTGGAAGAGCTGATTCATCAAGGAAGATGAGCATTAGATTGTGTTTTGAACAGTTATTTTACGCTTCATACACACACCCTCCTCATGGAAAACACACAAAGAAATGCAGATGAAACAGCTTTAAGTTAAAGGTGATTAATGTGGCTGTCGAAGTAGGAAATCGAGCTGCTGCAGGTGAACTCGACATCAGTGAGTCGATGGTGAGACGTTGGCGACGGCAGCGTGACGAACTGACTCAATGCAACAAGATGACAAAATCTTTCAGAAGCGATAAAGGCAGATTACCTGAATTTGAAAACGTTCTTGAAAACGTGGACACCTGCGGCTTATAGACAAGTGCGGCCTACATATGTAAAAAAAACAATTATTTTGAAATTTAGTTGGCTTATATTCAGGTGCGCTCAATAGTCCAGAAATTACGGTAGTTTGCAGTGGTCCAAAGTTGTTCCTCACTCACCTTATGCATTCAGAGCATCCTAATTATTCACCAAGATGAGTTTTTAAGCACTTTTCATGACAGAGCAGAGTTTGCCGTCAAAGTAACAACAACTAGCATGCTAATAGAGAGCTTCCTAAATATCGGACGATAAAACACAGTACTCAGCAGACTTGTTTTGACCTCAGGAGCTGCTTAAACAATAAAAATCTATTCAGTTACTAGTGTCTTCATCGCCAAAAAGTGCTTTGTTTATTGGCTTCATCTGCACAGTTCTTTTTCCACTGCGGTTACGCCAAAGAACTACAACAGTCTCTCTGCATTGGTGCTGTACTAACAAATACTCATTTTCGATAACACACTGTTTCATAATCAAGTGAAGTGGTTGGGTAATTTTAGTTAATGGAACCTGTACCTGATTTTTACAGTCTTCAAAAAGGGAAAAACAAACTAATATTTGAAACAGTTTGCTGCAGTCCAAAGTTATTCCTCACTTACCTTCAGTGTTGGAGACTAACAGATTACATGTACCGGAGTTACGTAATCAGAGTACACATTATGAGTAACTGTATTCAGTTACAGTTACTGTTTAAGTGAGTGGTAATTGGATTACAGTTACTTGGTTGAAATAAATGGATTACACAAAGGTATTTTTTCACACTTTTTTTTCAGTAATTCCACTCATTGCTGGACACTACACCAGGTCTAAACCCGGTCTAAACCAAGTCTAAACTCAGGTCCAAACCAGGTCTAAAACCAGGTCTAAACAAGGTCTAAACTAGGACTAAACCAGGATTAACCAGGACTAAACCAGGACTAAACCAGGTCTAAAACCAGATCTAAACCAGGACTAAACCAAGACTAAACCAAGACTAAACCAGATCTAAACCAGGACTAAGCTAGGACTAAACCAGGACTAAACTAGGATTAAACCAGGACTAAATCCAGGTCTAAAATATGTCTCAAACAGGATTTAACAGGACTAAACCATGCTGCATGGACCGTGTCTCCTCTTCTATCAATAATATTTTAAATTTGGTTAAGTAAAGACTGGACTTTTTATTTTCTTTTAGCAGACAAAACATCTTATGTTAGGATTTCCTCGTCTTTGCTTCTCTACAGCAAACCAAGTAATCCAAAGTATTCAGATTACGTTACTCACTTTAAGTAATTTAATGGATTATGTTACAAACTACATTTTGGGGTCTGTAATCTGTAATCTGTAGGGGAATACATTTTAAAAGTAACCTTCCCAACGCTGCTTACCTTATGCATTCAGAGCGTCCTAATAAAACACCGTGATGAGTTTATAAGCGCTTTTCAAAATCCCTACAGACCAGAATGGAGTTTTGCCGTACCACTTTACGATTCAAGTGGTACTGCAGACCGTACAGAGCACATACCAAGAGCTGCTTATACAATATCTCTGAGGGCTTTGGGACAGGTTTAGAGATTAGATTTTGGTAGAACAGAATATTGAACTCAAATTTGACTCTTATTTGTCAGTTCCTGTGCTCTGCCTTTGTATCATGAGTCAAAAATAAGGAGTCGTGCAAAGACAAAAGGCAAAAGGCAGAAACTGAAATGATCATTATTTGCTTGATTTTCCCCAGACTTCCATCCATTATAAGAATTTGGACATTAACCCTCTCAGGCTCAAATAAAATTTTAGTAACATGAAAAAATCTGATATATGGGGAAAATGATCATATGGGTTAATAATATACAATCCTGACTTTTTTTTTGAGAGAGACCTTCACATCCAGTGTGTTCTGGGATGTTGCAGATTTGCAGCATTGGCCCGGTGTGATAAATTAACACTGAAGACTGAAAATGATATGAACTAGGGATGGGCATGATTAGTCGATTAATCGATAATTGATCATTAAGAATTTCATCGATTACGTTAATTTTAATCGACAAACCGAATGTAGGTTGCTGTGTGTGTCGTGACCAAACAGGTGTGTACATGTGTCTCTGCACTCAGAAGGAGTGAGACACAAACAGTGGGTCAGTCTGCAACGTACTGAAGTGCAAATGCGAACGATGTGCAACGATGATTTGTACAAGAAATTACACGCTTTTCGTTCCGTTCGGGACAAGCGGGAGGCCATGCGCACAGTGTTTCGGTGTCCAGAGGGAAAAAGTTTTGCCAGGTGAGAGTAGTGCAATGTCGATGACGAGTCCCCGCCTCCCTCCCCCCGTACGGTGTCCTGGTTTTAACAAACACAAATCTGGTCACACTAACCTGTATTCACCTGAGTCATGTCTTTTAATCCGATAGAAATTGAACCACATCAGCGCGCAAGAGCTGTTTTTTTTATCTTCGCTTATTTTATGCAAATTAGCGATGCGGTTTTAAGTTTCGTTTCTGTGAGAGCTGCGCAAAACTGAATTAATATTATAATCTAAAATGGGCTGATGTGGCTCTAGAGTGGTTACGGTTTATATGTCGTAAAGTTGAATTTATTTATGCAGATTAGTAGTGCAGATAATAATAATAATGATGATCATTTTAATATAAAAATGTTAATGATCATCGAATGCCCGTCCCTAATATGAACGCTAACTTTATGTGTATGCCAGTTTTCATAACAATGAAAACATAAAGCACAGTGTAACAGCTTTACTGTGGCAGAACAACATCACTTTTTCATGTGGTTCTCCAAGAAACAATTGTTATCCTTTGTAAACAACAAAAGTACTTTGCACTTCTGGCAGGCCGTTTGTGTGTAGTTATTCTTGCACAGTCTGCATCGTCCACGTTTATCAGCATGGATGGGAAAAAAGGCTCCTGAGTAAAAAAAGCTCATAAAATATGCATTTGGAGTAAGTAGGTAATTGGCATTTAGCTGTTGCAAATCTGCAACGCCTGCCTGGAGAGGGATAAAATCTTTTCAACAATTGAACCAGCAATATTGGAACAAAATAGTCAGTAAAATATTTACAAAAAGATTAAAAATTATTCCAAACATGTCTTAACATTTCAGCCTACATGCAGATCGTGACAAGGCGACTCAAAAAACATCTCTTGCGACCCACGTTGCGTGTACAGTATGAAGAAATACACCAAATACTTACATATTAAAGATCATTTAAGTAAAATTGAATACAAAGGTATATTTATTGAATGTGTTAAGATTTATTTAATGTGTTAAGACCCTGTGTCAAGGCCGCAACAAAAAGGAGGTGAGAGGTAGAGGTCTGCACGGGACAGAATTTTCAGTTCCCGCACTGTGCAGTCCTGCTCCTGCAAAGAATTGTAATTTTCAGTCCCGCTCCCGCCCGCATCTGCGATATTTGGTCCCTCTCCCACCTGTAAGTCCCGCAAGATGGGGATCTTCACTTTCTTAAGCTCTATCAAACATGGAGAAGTGGAAAGAAATTGTCTAAAACAGTGGTCCCTAACCTTTTTTGCACCACAGATCGGTTTATATCAGACAATATTTCGCTGACCGGAAGGAGTTGGGGGGTTGTGGCTGCATATGGGAGGAGGCGCGGTGGGTGGTCCGGGTTTTAATCTTTTAGTCCTGTTGTAGTCCTGGTTTTAGTCCTGCTTTTGTCCTGGTTTTAATCCTGTTTTGTGTGTGCATGGCTCTAGCGAGAGGTTAGATTTTAAAATAAAATATATTTATGAACTAAATCACAAACAAAACCTACACTGTTACTGCTTTTGTCTTTGCACGACTCCTTATTTTTGGCTCATGATACAAAGGCAGAGCACGGGAACTGACAAATAAGGGTCAAAGATAAATTTTGGACTCAATATTTCTCATGATATTTATTCACATGGTAAAGAAGGTCTCAAATACAAACAAAATGACATGAACTTGTTTTTGGATAGAATAACATCTCCATGGAGAACAGAAGGTTTGGGACAAATAAGCAAATTACGCAAGTCCCTCTTTTAAGACCTGAAGTAAACAAACTCACGGAGTTTAGAAATGTTCCTAGTTTCTCACGTGCTGTATCTGTGTTCTCTCCATCAGCAGCCCCTGGTACGTCTGCGAGGAGGGGCCATCGTGGGAGAGGGCCGCGTGGAGGTGCTGAAGAACGGGGAGTGGGGCACCATCTGTGACGACCGCTGGGACCTGAGCTCCGCCACTGTGGTGTGCAGAGAGCTGGGCTACGGCACCGCCAAAGAGGCCCTGTCCGGAGGGAGGCTGGGACAAGGTCAGGACCAGGGCTGTGTTTGTGCTTTAGCTTTGTGTCGTTCAACCAGGGGCACAGGAAGATCGGATTTATTTAGAATGTTGTCTGGTTTACAAGATGACGATTGATGATTCTGACTGAAAGTTGTTTAAACTCATGTGTATTGAAATTGGAGCTGATCAAATATAAATATGGTTTTAACTTTCTATTTCCATGGACTCAAGATGACATGTCACCTACAAGTACATGCCGTCGCTTTGAGTTCAGCGAGTATCCTAAAATTAATACATTTGTTTCTAAATAAAACAAATACTCAACTTGCACAGGGCTCCACTCACCTCCAGAGGCGTTCACAAACAAATCAACTAACAGATGGTTAAGTTTATTCGAGATATACTGTGCTCCAAAACAAGAAAAATGATCTGATGAAGGCCTTTTTGCCAAAATGTGATTTGAAAAAAAAGCTTTTGGACATCAGCCACATTTTTCTATAGTGCTTTTCCACCTTCAAGGCACTCAAAGCACTTTACAACAAGGAAACACTCACCCATTCACACAGGCATTCACACACCAGTGTACGCGGACACTTTGAGCAAGTGTCTTGCCCAAGGACACAACATCTGTGGGAGCTGGAATCACACCAGCCAACCTGTGGGTCAGTGGATCTGACCAGTCAACCTGTGATGTTTATGTCAAGAGCTGGATTCAAACCGCCAACCTTCAGATGAGTGGGCAAATGCTCTACCAACTGAGCTACTGCCGCCCATACATATACATATACATATACATATACATATACATATACATATACATATACATATACATGTGCACATACAAAATGTTCGCTGCAAACTCAGGATGATTTCTTAGGCAGCTAAAGATTTCCTTTTTGGTCCTCCCCATTGCCTTTGCTTTTCACTATTTTGCAATTCCATTGTTAAGAGAAACAGCTTGAATGAAGGTTTGCAGTCACACACATCTGATTCCCTTTTGCATTTATCGAGTTCACAAACAAATTTCTCGAGCCATTTTTTGCTGTTAGGATCCAACAACCACACAATTAACGATGTCCGAATCTCAAAACTAAAATATGACAATATCAGAACCAGAAACAAAAGTGATATGGTTCAAAAGACTAGAAAAGATCGACTTTGTCAATAGACGCATCCCACTGGGAAAACAAACATGGCGGTTTGATGCTCCCTTTTTCGGAAAATCCTTCGCAGTATGGATTGCGCCGTGACCGGAAGTCCGACATTCGTGATGCATGTATTTATGTGATGAAATAATCTTTTAAGCACTTTTAAATCTTAACTCTTTGGTTTATGACAGAACCAAAGGCTTATCAAGGCATTTTTAAAGGGCAAAGTAGCATATTCACAATTTTTTATCGCGATCAGTATTGTACCATGAGATGCAAACTGTGAAAATATCATACCAGGAAATTTGGATATCGTTACATCCCATAGATATGTAGAGTTGATTCCATAACTGTTACCTAGCGACCATAATGTGGGTCAAACAAGGGCCAATATTTTTCCAAATTGTATATTTTGTTAAATCAGTGTTTAAACTGACCTGAAAAATGTCTTCCTTGTGCGTAGGATGGAATTTTCTGTGCTGATGACATACTGTAGGTAGAGGGATTCTGTTTTAGAACTCACCACTGCTTCCTGTATTTCTGTACTTTTCTTCTCCACTTTATTCCCCACAAACTGCCACTTTTTAAACTGCTGTACAACTATGATAAATATTTACCACAGGTACTACCTCACCAAACCAAGTCATAATTAGAAAAACATGAAAACCTGTCATATGCTCTTTAAGTCCATATCTGTGGTACGGAGCAGCTCGATGAACCGGGAATAGCCTTGTGAATGAGCTCTCTGTAATGATAGACTGGCCTTGTAGCTCTGGTAATGTCTGCACAACTCTACGAAATTATAACTGTCCAGCAGAATTGCACATCTAAACATTTTATCCAGCAATTTCACCTAAAATTAACCGACCTCAGTGACCCAAGCGAGGCCAGGTCTGAGCGCTGTCCTGTCTGAGAGGCCTGCTAAAACTTGAAACTTTATGAATCTCTGTGAAACTTTGGAACCTTTTGCAGTTTTAAGGTGCATTGTGTAACTTTTTGGGTTGAAAATGTCATTGCTCTGCCTGGAATGCTCCACAGTGTGACATTAAACACCTCTAACTTACATTTATTCAATTACAGGTGGTTTTATAACTCAAAAATACCTACAAAAACAGATATTCTGACTGTGAGCGGGGTCGCCTCTCCACAGATCTGGCCTGTAACTTCTTTGGGTTGGTCTGAAGATTGAAAGGTTTAATGTCGTACTGTGAAACATTTCAGACAAAGCGATAACATCTCCATGAAGAAAAGCATTTGACAGACCCTCCTCCAGAAAAGTTACACAATTCACTTTTAAGTTCTTATTGTGTTATTGCTACATTGTTATTTTACATTTTTCTAGTACTTAAAGTGTATATGACAGAAATATTTTCTAATTATTACAATTGGTTTGATGGTGTAGTAGCTGTAATAAATATTTATAATAGTTTTATATCAGGTAAGTGGCAATTTGTGGATAAAGGTTGAGAAGAAAAGTACATAAATACAGGAAGTCACACTGGGTTTTATAATGGAATCACTCTACCTACGTATTTAACAAAGTTCTATTCAATTTACACGGAAGGGCAGCCAGTATTTAAAAGTGTATTGTGTAACTTCTTAACCAAGCTGGCGCCACCTAGTTCCTCCACTCAATTTCATTTCTCTCGAGTGACTAGGTCAGGAATCAGAATACACTAGACGGTTTGCAAGAACCCTGGAAGTTGTAGACCGCACATCGACCAATCAGCTGTGAGCTGTGAAGTCATGACGTCAAACTCGTCACGTCTGTCTGGGTCCCTTTTGTGGAACAGCACAACAGTAAACAAAGCAAAAGATGTTCATTTTGTCTTCTTATATACTTTAACTTCTTGTTCTTTTTAAAGACAATGCAGTAAAGTGTATTTACCTTGTTGACATGTTTGGGCTGCTGCTGCATCTTCAGAACTGTCACCTGGTGTTGGTGGTGACATGTCGTATATCAGCTGTTGTTACTTCCTGTAGACGTGGTTAAAAAGATAAAGCAGATCAGGAAAACCTAAAATCCTCCATATCAGACACTGTAAAAGGAACAACCACATTCTGGATTGGGACGGGGCTCGGGTCATTGGATCAGAGAACAACAAGTTCAAACTCTGGATCAAGGAGGACGGTGAAATCAGGAAACGAGGCACAGACAGCATTAACCGTGATGACGGCGCGTTCCTCCTTTCACACACCTGGGACACCCTCCTCCAGAGAACACCGGGCGACGGGAGGCGTGGTCAGTCTGAGTCTGACCACGCCTACAGGAAGTAACAACAGCTGATATACGACACGTCACCACCAACACCGGGGAAAGTTCTGAAGATGCAGCAGCAGCTGAAACATGTCAACAAGGTAAATACACATTGTCTTTAAAAAAGAACCCAAGAAGTTAAAGTAAACAAAGTGTTGAGATGGATGTAGACGAAGACAGACAAAGAGAATGTTTGGTGAATTTTAGGGGGAAAGACGTTATTGTCCTTCTTCCTACAGGATTTGGTGCATTACATATGTCACGACCGGTATTGGGGAGTAACGGATTACATGTACCGGATTTACATAATCAGACTAGAAATTATGTTTCAATGAGTGGTAATTGGAATACAGTTACTTTGTTGAAATAAATGAATTACATGGCGGTATTTTCCTGTTTTCACATTTTGAGCTATATCCCATTTTTAATTCCACTCCCTGCCAGAAACCAAAACAGAACGTGCACAAACAGAGCTGTGTAAACGTCTTGTTGGTGGCGTCAGTCACACAGTGGACGAGGTCGAGGAGTCAGTAGAACAGAGGCAGCAGTGCACGGGCAAAAACACATTTGTATCTTGTAAATTCAGACATCACTTTGTATTTAAAGAAGAGAGGGACGGTGTGGTGGGCGCGATAAGCGGGTGTTCACCATCCATCCACTTCTCCAAAGGTGAGATATAAACAGTGTTGGGAAGGTGACTTTTAAAATGTATTCCCCTACAGTTTACAGATTACATACATCAAAATGTAGTTTGTAACGTAATCTGAATACTTTGGATTACTTGATTTGCTGTAGAGAAACAAAGACGAGGAAATCTTCACATGAGAAGTTTTGTCTGCTAAAAGAAAATAAAAAGCCCAGACTTTACTGAACCAAATTAAAAATATTATTGATAGAAGACGAGGAGACACGTCCACACAGCAGGATTTAGTCCAGTTAAATCCTGTTTGAGACATAGTTTATACATATTTTTTGTCTTGGTTTAGTCCTGGTTTTAGACCTGGTTTAGACCTGGTTTTAGACTTGGTTTTAGACTTGGTTTAGACCTGGTTTAGTGTCCGGCAATGAGTGGAATTACAGGAAAAAAAAAAGGGATATAGCCCAAAATGTGAAAACAGGAAAATACCTCTGTGTAATCCATTTATTTCAACAAAGTAACTGTAATCCAATTACCACTCACTGAAACAGTAACTGTAACTGAATACAGTTACTCATAATTTGAACTCTGATTACATAACTCTGGTACATGTAATCTGTTACTCCCCAACACTGTATATAAAAATAACAAATATAAAATCGCCTACAAGTTAAATGTCAAACTGGAGCTACTGGCGCTGATGAAAACAACCTGCATAGACTCATGATGTCTGCACTACTGTTCTATATTGACCTGAGACATGTTACATTCATGTAGTTTTAAAAAGCATGACAATATCAAGTAATCCAAAGTATTCAGATTACGTTACTCACCTTAAGTAATTTAATGGATTACGTTATAAACTACATTTTGGTGTATGTAATCTGTAATCTGTAGGGGAATAAATTTTAAAAGTCACCTTCCCAACACTGGACACGACCAAATAGCAGCGATTTGTTAAATAAAAAAAGTACCCACCTACCGTC